CATTGGTGGTAGTGTCCAGGGTTACTGATGAGGAGTGGAATTCTCCGAAACTATTCTGGCTCACAGACACACCCCCAATGATAGAATAGACCATTCCAAGCTTTTACTTGTTGTTAAACAAATGTTTAAACAACTCTATTCAATTATTTACAAATCTAGTTGCAACTCTTTGGCTTTGTTGGTATTATCTGATCTGTTCACCATCCTCAAAATCATCAAATATAGTTTATAAATTTACTTGTCCCTGCTGTCCATTAAAAGAACATGCGAATTGTATATCCCTTGTTAAGTCGACCATTCTAATTTGTTTAAGATCTTAGCTAGGGCCAATGATGAACAGAGCCTGCTCACTCACAAAACAAGGCCAGAAATCAGTCAGTTAGGATCAACTCACAAGTTACTGTTGAGATATACGTTACCGACAGCTGGTGTATCAACTAATTAGAAAGATATTAATGTATGCGTTATTACAATAGGGTGTTTCATGTAGTTAGAAAGGTAGTAGGATATACGTTATTGAAATATGGTGTTTTATACAGTTTGAAGGATAGTAAGTTAAATATCACTGACAGCTAGTGTTTCAACTAATTAGAATACTAGGGTATACGTTATTGAAATATGGTGTTTCGTATAGTTAGAAGGATAGTAGGGTATACGTTATTGAAAATTGGTGTTCCATTCAGTGATAAGGATAGTAAGGTAAACATTATTGACAGCTGGTGTATCAACTAATTAGAAGGGTATTAACGTATATGTTATTGAAATGTGGTATTTCACACAGGGCAGGGGCTCATTGAAAAATAGGGCACTTTTCAATCTTTGTAAGGCAATGCCTTTTTGTTTGGTGGGGGAGTGAAGTATTAGGGGAGACTAGAGGATCCTCTCTTATTCTTATTGAATTGATCTTTTAAAACAATGAGTCACTACATATGAATACTTAATAGAATATCACAGATGTTTTTTAGCATAATGAATCTAGAATCATTAATTTTAAAGCCGATTTTTGTTCTGCCTAATAAATAGCAGCGAAGAAAGTGTGGAATCAGGCGTATCTTTTAATGGTTGTTGACATTTTTTATAACTGAGAAAAAGGGCACTTTTGAGGCATAATGGCAGGGGCTTGAGCCCACCCAGCCACTCATTGAAAGATGGTGTTTCAGCTCATTAGAAATATATTAGGGTATACATTATTGAAAAACAGTGTTCCACAAAGTTAAAGGGATGGCAGAGTATGCGTTATTGACAGCTGATGTTTGAACTAATTAGAAGGATATCAGAGTACATCTTAACAAAAGATAGTGCTTTCATACAGTTAAGAAAATATTCGAGTATATTTATTGAAGAATGTTGCGTCAACAAGTTAGAAGGATAGAACAGGGTATAAGCTATTGAAAGATGATGTTTTCTCTGACTAATTAGAAGGATGAGACTATAGATAGAAAATTCAAAACAAGAAAACTTGTTTAATATTTGAATTCTGCGCAAATCTACACGAGGGCTATCTGAGCTAGCCGTCCCTAATTTAGCAGTGTAAAACTAGAGGGAAAGTAGCTAGTCATCACCACCCACCGCCAACTCTTGGGCTACTCTTTTACTCTATTCGTTATAACGTCCCCACGGTTGAATAGTCGAGCACGTTTGGTGGGACGGGGATTCGAACTCGCGACCCGCACATGGGGAGTCGAGCACCCTAACCACCTGACCATGCCGGGCCTGACTTGAAAGCATTAACGATGAAACAAATGAAGCAAAAATAATATGTCTGATGAAACTTCAGCAAAAATTTAAAATATACAACAACAAATATTTATGCAGGCTCCTTTTTCAGGTAGTGTTTCTATATACAGCGAAGAGTTAAACAGATTATTTAAGTCTTAGGAATTTAGAACAACGCGTGAGAGGCATAATCAAATTATAACAATTGTACGTTTATGAGTATATGTGTTGATAGATAATGTTCTAGCGTATTAGATAGTGTTTAATGAACCGTGGGATCTAGTTATAGAAATAGCGCGTCGTTTTAAAACTTTTACGTCACACTAAAAGTGTAAGCAGTAGAATGGGTCACATGATGCTGAAAAAACAAGAAAAAGAAAGTCAGAAATACCTCTGATGCCGCGCATTCATAAATCATAATTTGCATATTGTAGGCTTATCAAAGTTTTAGTTACTGCTTAATGTAACTTTCACAGAATAATAAAAATGTATTTCTGCAAAAGACAGTGTCTAATATTTTTCCTTTAATTTCTAGTAATTTTAATCATCTGTACTAACCTTTGAACTAGGCTCACACTACCTAGATCTGTAGGTCCAGTATAAAAAAAAACGATAGTTCCAGCTATTAAGTTATACTTGTGTCCATTATTAAATTTGTCTCGATAAAATGTATCTGGTACCTAGCACATTTTAACTGTTGTTATAATATAGACATTGTTTTACTTAATGTTCTGAGTTAGTTCTGTGGCCTGGTATTATTTTAAGGAAGTATAAGGCTGACATAATTACAATGTACAACTAGACAAATGTGTCATACAGACTGAGGTCATAGCTTAATTAGCATATAATTATCACAAAGTCATTTATACCATCTAAAAGTCTCTCAATATGTCAGCAGTAAGTTTCCGTACTTATAACACAAGATTCGATTCCCCGCGATGGGCAGAGTGCAGATAGCCCATTCCGTAACTTTGCACTACGAAAGCAACAACAACCTATGTAACTACACTATCAAGTTCTACTTTGCAAAGCTGCTGCGTAGCTTTAACTTCTTTCAGTGTTAGGGTTGCCCCTGATAATAATGGTCATTAATTAATTTTAAGAATATAATATAATCTGTTTTGATCAAAAATCTGTGAAAGAAACGAATAAGGATAAGATTAGAGCAAAAATTATTGAAAGACACTATTCAAGGCTATTATAGGGTTAATGGGGCTATGTTAAGTCAGTTTGATGTTGCACTAAAGCTGTATTATTAACTGTATTATTTTTCAATATTATTGTATATATTTTCCCGATTCAAAAATGAATTCCTCATTTAAAAAATACAAGAACTACATTTTTGTGTTTGAGACTTAATTATTCGAGTCTACTACTTCGTAACAGAAAAATGAAAATAAAACGTGGTACGTTTAACCTAATTTTGTTCACTAATGATCACACGGAATTTCTGTCCAGTTCACAGAGTTGTGCATATTGATACTGACAAGATCTTTGTTATTTGAAACTGTTCATCTGTTATTCTACCTTTTGGCTCACCCTGCAAAAATTATCACTGTTGTACGAGGAGACCCACACTTACTGAAATCTCTGGAAGAAATTTTAGTAATTTATTATTTAGTTATTAATTCTTATATAGAATTAGAATATACTTATATGTTTTTTGTGGTGTTACCCTGAAGGAGAAGGCACCAGCATATATTATCATTCAGTTGTAACAAATGATCTCATGTTTTATTTGTAATCATGAACAGCTTCTTACTCTCATGTTGCCACAACCATAGCAGAGAACATAATGCAAAACTTCTCTTAACTGTTGTAATGTGGTTTTCCGAGTATTCTCCCATTTTAATCTATATTCATATATGTAGTATTAGTATCAGTCACTAACCCTAATATTCTAAGTAATGTTGACAGGCGACACATAATGTACAACTTGTTAAGGGTTCTTACTTTTTCATGTTTGTTACATTACTGTATGATAAATGTGTTCATCCTTTATGGCGGTTACATTCAGAAGTGTAAATAGGAAAATTTCACTGTATAAGAGGATTAAAGTGGAATTGAATGAACTCTTCCATGTAAGTACAAAAGATGCATGTCATCAAGGTTTGTTTTTGGCTTATTGCCAAACCGGAAGAAATCTGTCTGCGTTTGGAACGAATGTAGTCATTACATTACATTGATGATGTCTCAACATTGAAAATAATATAGTAGAACCTCAAGAACCATCTAACAAAACACAGTTTCAAAAATTCAGCTAAAAGGACTGCTTTCCAATAACGTTTAGTAAATGAAGTTTCGAGTGGATCCTTCGAACACATCGATTGCGAATAGAATCTTCTTCTGAAATCTGATGCGTTTGCAGATTGAAGTATCAATATCGCGTCCATTTCAATTTCGTGTATGTCATATCGTTCCGCAGCGCCTGCTTTACTTAGTCCAGACAGTGTATAGTACTGCATTTCAGGTGGAGAGCCCCTTAAAAACGAACTCAGTTATATCACGTGCATCCGTCTCAGGCAGGTTTTTCTGCATCTATTGTGCTCCACTAGTGTTTTGCCGTATAATTGATACAAGCACGTATTCAACCAGCTTCAGTGCTGACAAATCTGGACCCTTACACAATGAATAACACGCACGCAATTCTTAAATCACTCTGTTGTAAGAGATGTCGTGAACTATTTATATCGCTTCCTCAGTCCACAAAAACGCTGTATTCATGTTACATTTGCACAGTGTTAGGTGCCCGCAACTCTTGGGCAGGTGACTCAAAGAATCCTTTTCAAAATGTAATATACCATCCAGGTTTGTAACCTAGGTGGGGCAGCAGATTTATATCCCTCCCATGTGTCTGTGAGAGAAGGTGTCATTGGTCGAGTTCATGACATATATATATAAACTTTGAATGTGGAGCATAGCCCTCATTTAGTACGCGCCCCTGCGTGTTTGCAAATGTAATTCGTTTAAATATAATTTTTCTTTCTTTATATGCCGCAATTATGAATTCAGTAAACATAGATGAGTCTTTATGCATTGAATCGTATGCTGTGATATATAATGCTCACTGAAACATATATCCTTCTCAGATCTGCTATTGTTTCGTTAATATATGCACGTTTCCCTATACATTTTTATATTTGGCAGATGGGTGAAAACCATCTCTCTGGTAAGTTCCAACTTCTATTGAACAGTTAATTAGGATGTAAACGTGCATTATTATATATTTTGTATTAGCCTATAATGCCTATATTGTACCTGTATTTTATTACAGATACCTATTCGTCTCTTAAGGTTATATGCTTGTATTTCTACTCTGGTATAATAAATAGAAATATTCCCCACACACATTTCTTCTGTGTGGTGTAGCTGTTTGTATCGGAGTTCTCAACTTATTTTCTATTAGCTCATTGCTTCATCTCCAAACTACCAATCTTGTTGTTTCAAGATTACTTTAAACTATCTTTTTTTTCCTTTCTCCGCTCTGGGAAGTTTTCTTTGAATGAGTAAACTCGCCTAATGTACAGAAAGTAAAATACACTAAGGACCCATTTTTTGTAAGAAAGAGCTTACCAAGAAAACCTAGACGCTAAATAGTTTGATTTGGGAAAGCCAATGTTTGTAGAAATCTTCCAGCAAGAGTACTTTTTACTCAGCTGTATTGTTTCAAGCTTACTTACTCAATTGTATCAGTAAAGGTTGTGTAAAAAGTTACAGTAGTAGCAATTAGATTTTTTTATATATAAAACGAAAGGTTTCTAATATTTTCTCAATGAAAATATATATATATATATATATGTTTCAAACCTTTGTTTTTATTTTACTTTAGCTAACATGAGCAAATACGTAACTTAAGTAACAAAGATTTCGTTATGAGTTTTATAAGAAAGCGATCATCTCACCCAAGAAGTAAGGATTCTATAAAGGCGCCACAACAAAACAAATCGTATTTAATATGCACCACTCTTTTAATAATAGTTGTTCTGATATGGCGACTATGTCTGCTTCATTTCACTTTATAAGTATGTTTCCAGTAACAAAGTTTCATATTCCTTTAAAAGCAGTTCTAGATGGGCAGCTTACGAAGCATTAAGGAAGTGTAACATTTCATCACACGTTGTAAGTTTGAAACGTGATGAAGCTCGTTACTCCATCCCACTTTCCATAACCTGTAATCTACTACATTTAAAGTGATTACCCATTTATCACAGTTGATTGTTTTCACGTAAAGAAATCTTATAATATCCGTCCTTATAACAAAATGCTTCATCAGTTTAATATCTTAGCTTTTTTACTGTATAGGATTGGGCAAAAGTTACTATACAATTGCTACTAAAGAAAATATTACGAAAACAGTTGAAACCAATTTAATTATTGTTTGTTTCAGAGTAAGCAATTAAACTGTTCTAAATGAAATAACTGTATAATCATTTTTGGCCATCACGTATACGTAATATATATTAGTTACATTGTATTTTAAGATAACGTTGTCTTGTTTTATGTAACTAATATATATTGTATTTTAAGATAATGTTGTCTTTTTTATGCTATTGCATGGGAAAGCACGAAACATCTAAAGTTTAATTTGGTCATTACTAAAACACTGTTCAATGTGTGGGAGTAGCCTATATAATCAGTCCCTACCATGATTACGTGTGCCAGTTCTAATATATTGCCTGAGTCACTATCGCTCTTCTAAATTTCATATACGTTTAGGTTCCTTAGTTTATATCAGTCACACTACTAATACTTCATTTAAATTTCCCGACTCACTTTGTTCAGTATTTTATCGTTTTTTTCGGCCTCTACGACATCGTAGGATTCGCACGACAGTGTTTAAGCTCTACTTGCGTTCAGCTGCCACGTTTAACTTGTATTGACTGTTTCTTTTTTTTCTTTTTTTCAATTGGCTAAAACTTAAACATTTCGAAACGAATACATACTAAAGTAGTGGATTAGTCTATGAGATAAGTGCTACCTTTTATCTTTTATATCGAGAAAACAAAAATTTTGCTGTAGTTCTAATGTACTATTGAACGAAATGGTTTTCAGAGCATGCCAGGAAATATGTGTTATTTGCAAACGACACTTGGGGTAAATGTCACTCATCACGTCATCAGCAACACGTGTAAATAAATATCGGCCCTAAAAAGTCGTACATTTAAATGTTGCAGTGTAACACGTTTATTTGATTTATAAGCTGTTGAATTTATTGTTAATTATATTTAAATATTACAAGTGAAAAATGTTTTGGTTGCTACACAACACAACGGAGAGTGTTATCATTGAGTTAGTAATTCTATATAATTCTAAGAATCACATCCGCTTCATTAGGGTTACCCGGGTAATGTGGTGAACGCATAAGAACCGTTGTTATGGTGAGCATGTGGTTTATTTGCTATATACAAGTGTGCTCAAAGCCGATCCAAAACGTTTACTTAAAAATGGACAAACCTTGAAATAAAACATTTCACTTTAAACATTTGAACGTAATTTTCAACGTATTTAGGATGAACTAAAGCACAATACCAGATTATCTGTAGACTAGAGAATAACTACAAGCAAGGTTTCGTGGTCGCCCCATCAACTTCCGTATACACTTTGTATCATTCGAAATGGTTATTTATAAGATTTATATAGATTGTTTAAAAAGGTGTGTATTTTGTAAAACAGCAGTTTGATTACTATCTAAACTCATTTTGTGGTAGAAGGTTCCTGAAAATGGTAGGATGAGTAAGTGTGCGTAAACTTTGACGTAACTGAAGGTGTGCATTTTTTTCAACACCTATTGATGATGTTCTCTGCACTACCTGGTGGCGTTTGTTGAATGGTATTAATCAATTTTAAGCATTTCTATATAAGTACATGCTTTTAATACATTTCATTATAAGTATGCAATCCAGCCTATAGTTGTACAGAGGGTTAAGTACATTAAGTTAACATATGTAAATCAGAAGTCATGTGACAACTCCAACTGTTTAAAGTCGCGATGATAATGCATTTATCAGAACTATATTTTGATATAGTTTGACATTTCATAAGTAATGTGAAGGTACTGGAAATTTGTCGCATTTACGAAAAGTATGTAACAGCACTTTCCTACGCAAAATATTCGTACACTCAAATCATAAATATGTTTTGAGATATGGAATTTAGAATTTCCAAGACGTGGTTATCCGTTTTACTCGATAAAATTGGAAAACAATGGGATATTCATGAACGTGGGGAACCAGGACCACCTAGGAAGAGATCTTCAATGAATCGTACCCCAGCCGTGGTAAGCAAAAATCGGCGCCTTGTAACAAATGAGTACCTACGAACACAAAGATTAGTGGCAAAACTCGTTCACACACACCAGGCAACAGCACACAACGGGCTGAGAACGACCCAGAGGACTGTGGATCCGAGGTTTGCACTCCATTATCGTGCAAAAAAAATCGCACTCCGCACTTTGGGGCCGTGGGCGCGTTTTAAGATGACGGTCGAATCCCACTATCCGGTTAGAGTAACTCAAGAGTTGTCAGTTGATGGTTTTGACTAGCTGCCTTTCCTCTAGTCTATTGAATCCCACTATCCGGTTAGAGTAACTCAAGAGTTGTCAGTTGATGGTTTTGACTAGCTGCCTTTCCTCTAGTCTATTGAATCCCACTATCCGGTTAGAGTAACTCAAGAGTTGTCAGTTGATGGTTTTGACTA